AAGCAGTGGTATCAACGCAGAGTACTCGTTGCGACGTCGCGCTGCGATGTCGCGAATTTTACAAAATTACATGAAAATACTCAGAAAAAATTTCTCTTTCAGATTTTAACGTGAAGTTTCGTGCGTCGCACCGTATAAGGTGAAACTAAAAAAAACTTGTAAATTTCCTGGTTTTCAATTGATTCATGTTCGTTTTTCAAGTAAAATCAAGGAATAAAAATCGCGCCAGGCGTTATTTCAAAACATGTATGTTGCTGAGTACTCAGAATATCCCCGATTTATATACGTTTTGGCATCAGCGATCTTCTTTTGTCCTAATAAGTGAAGTTCGCAGGTCATCATCGTCGTGTTACCAATCTCAACTTGCAATCAGGCCACAGGTCAGAGCTTGCAATGACATTTAAGTAACTATCCATGGCAGAAACAAACGTAAAGCAAGAAAAAAGAAAACTGAAGAAACACTAAGGAGTATCGGAGTCAAACGAATCTGTTTTCATTTGGAAATACAAACGAACATAGATCAAATAAAAACCAGGAAGTTTACAAGTTTTCTTTTGAAGTTTCACCTTATGCGGTGCAACGGACGATACAGCACGTTAAAATCTGAAAGAGGAATTTTTTCTGGGTATTTTCATTTACCTTTTTGTCAAATTCGCGACATCGCGGCGCTACGTCGCAACACGGCAAAGCTGGCGAGGCTGCGTTTGCGCGATTGCCGCATGGCTCACCCGCACCGGTGCAAAGTGAGTGCGGATTACTGTAAGCCAGCTCGGCGCGCGTGCCGAATATGGCGGCGAGCTTTGGCGGCGAGGTCTTTGTAGTATAACGCACCTCCTCCGATTTACTTGGGGCGCGCGGCCCAGGCGGGCAACAGGGCCAGATCAAACCATATCCTCAAACGAGCAGGCGCCCGACCACTAGCTTGGTTTCGCATATCGCGAGCCCAGTGCCGGCGCCTATACGGGCTGTGACCTGTACAGGAACCCCTTCCCATATAGGAGACTGATAAAAAGCGCCCCAGAAATACAAGTGTTAAGAAACAGTTCCAGGTACTTTTATGAGCAAATGTCATACTCGTTCTCTTAGATGCTAATATTTGTGATTGTGTGATAGAAAAAGCAACCTTTGCTCAACAAAAAAAAAACACAACTTTGTAGATCTCTAATGAAGCATATATGATCTTGAAGGTGCAAAGGAACTGTTTTTTCGGAACTGTTTCTGACTTTTCGCAGTTGCGCGAAATTCTCTACAAAAAACTTGCTTTCAATAAAATGTCAATGAGGTGGGGAAAGCAGTTAGAAAGAGTTCTCAGGAGAATCGTTAGGCACCGAAACGTAAAACCGAGAAAAACAAAAAACGAGTATTCACCATCAAAAACTCAGCTTTGAATAAATCAACAAATCAGTGATCTACAATAATTCTTTCAAAGCTGATAATTACTGTTAGAAAGTTTGCAGGTAAGGGTCATTTATAAAGTCGTGACGACGGATTTGACTGCAGTCTTTGCGCCCACAGGAGCATAATACCCTCATACAAAAAGGCGTTACTAAACGCCCACCTCAGTCACTTCCAGTGTCCAAGTACTATCATACTTAAGCAGAAAAACAGTCGAGTACAGATTCGAACAAAAAAAATGAGATTGCCCCAAAGTGCTTACATGTCGCGCGCGGTTGCGCTCTCGTCACAATTTTTCGAATCTCCTATAGCTTGCTTCTATCAGCTGCAGATGAAGTCTGTTAGTCAGACAAGCTTACTACTTCGGGATAGTGACAATTAATCAAGCGTTGCTTTCTGATATCGTGAGAAATCCCTCATTTTTTGCTGCTCTGTTCAATTCGCAATTTATAGGCTGCATTCGCCAGCGCTTAAAGGCAGCGTGACCCAAAAGTTACCCAGTTCTCTAAACCGTGTATATTACAGGGCCCAGAAGAAGACCAACTGCGTTGGTCCGGTCTCCCAATGTTGCTTTTGAGCGGAGAAAACCCGCCTGATTTTTCTTTACTCCGCCTCCTTCGGACGAGTCCACGACAGCGTAAACTGCAGTTGCAGTTGCAGTTGCAGTTGCTTCTTGCGGTCCGTCTCTTTCGGAGGACGAATCCACGACAGCATACGCTGCATTTGTAGTTGCAACTGCAGGCTGTCATGCAGTTGCAGCCGCTCCTCACTGTCATGCCGACGAGGTCGAGCAGTTCGAAACTCGTCCTCTCTAAAGAGAGGGTCCCCAAGAATCGGGACTTTTTTGGGGGGTTTTGGAGAATTTCAATGTCAAATTGACAGCTGCGAAGTATTCTCACCTCGGCTAGGTACTTAACGCCAGGCACCTCGGGTCACCTAAATTGAAAAAAAAAACTTGCACCTTCAAACCACGTAGGTTTTTTCCACATCTTATTTCACCTCATAGTTGCGCATATACGCAGCGATTGCGGGTGCGTGATGTTTTTTTTAAATTGCTGTTTATGTGCGTAGTTAGGAGGAGAAACCACATCTGGAAATCATGGAAATCTAGTGGCTCGAAAGGGCAGGTTTTTTTTTAGTTTAAGTGACCCCGTACCGGCTGTTGAGCTCTGAATTGGCGCACAGAATGTGAAACCATATCTTTTTTGACACAACTGTGTTTGACTTTTGATCATAACTCATTGTAAATTTCAAATTCTGTATTCAAAGGCAGTGTTCAGGCAACAAGTCGATTTTCAGATTTTGTGCTTACCTAGGTCACTATGCTGAACTCGAATCAAACTGGAGAGCGCGAAAACGGGGAAAAAGGGCTTTAAAGGCACCGTGCACCCAGATTTTCGACGTCCACGTTTTTGTCGTTTCAGGGCCTTCTCATGTCTCTGATTCCGAATATGAAGTCGAAAACCGACAATCCCCGTTTCAGAGAACCCACAGGCCGGCTTGCAGGAACGGTGATTGGATGGGCACGTACAAGTGGGCGGGCGTGGATGGGGATCCTCGTGCATCTTCGCTATTCCGAAGCGATTTTCTCGCTTCCGAAGCGGCACTTTGCGCCGCGACTTGAGCATTGGATTGATAGGGGGCCCTTCTATTATATGCTGCCAAAAGCTCAACACCCTCAACTTATGGTGGACGGTGCCTTTAAGCAGGAGGGATCGCATTTGGGCGGGGCTGTTCCCACTGTGACATCATTTTCCCAGCTTTAGGAGCGATCTTGTCGGTTCCGGTTTTAGGTCACGCGTTTGCAGTTGGCTGGCGATGATAGGGCGATTACCGGAAGCGAGAAGATTGCTCCCGAAGCTGGGAGAGTGACGTCACAGTGTGAACATCCCCGCCCACCTGCGATTACTCGCCTGCGTCAAAGCTCTTTTTCGCCGTTTTCGCTCTCTCCAGTGTTGATTTTCGGATTCAGCATAGCGAATAGGCTTAGGTAAGCACAATCTCAAAATCTATTTTTTACCCGGACACTGTCCGCAACTCGAGCTTCAAAACCCGCTCTTCTGCTCATTTGCAGACCTTTTGATGAAAAAAGTTCTGAGCAGTGGCACAGTGTTGCTGCTCTGAGCGCGCAGCAGTGCGCGCAATGAATACGTGTGGCGGAAGTAGGCAACACGAACATTATCACTTCATCGGGATTCGGCGTTTCTATTGTGTTCTGTTTTTTTTTATCCATGAACATTGGCCACTGGTCATGCCGGTTATTTTTACAAAGTGGGACTTCGTTCATGGTTGGGTGCCACCTCGCGCCGAGCCCAAACTGTGATGCGTTTGGCGTGCCTTTTGCAAATGTGCCAGACGCATTCTGCTTCATTCAGATGCTACTGAATGGTGCCAATTTCTACACAAAATGATGCTAGGTCAGTCGGTTCTCAAGCCAGCGCTGTATCTTCGAGATTAAAGTGGTCGTCAAGTCAGCGCTTCTTTCTGCTGTCCCTGATCAACATTTTACTGTACCGAAAGTGAATTTGTTCCTATCAATTACAGCGACGCTTTACTACGCTGCTCACCTTCAGAAACTGCTTCATTTATTATTGTTTGTTTTTTTGTACAGGAATCACACACACAAAGATACCAACGCGGAAGCGATGGTGGAGCCAGCAACGCTGGTCATATAGTGAGACCAATCGCACAGCTTAGAGGAAGACATGATTACCAGCAACAGCGTACTCGTCGGAAGGTACATCGGAGCTTTTTCTCGAAGATTTATGCTTTTTGGTTGCTATTTACGTTTCGTCTCTTAGCACCATTGCTAGATAAGTCAGGACATGTAACTCTGTCATGTATTTGCTACGAGTACAGTTTTTAGAATCTTTTGGATTGATATTTCAGTTCGACGTGCATCAGAAGACGCATCCGCATGTGAAAACTATTGGACAAGAAGGAACTGACCGCCTTCGAAGTCCGGTCGTTTCTAGTGAGGGTTACGATGAATGGGAAACAGCTAGTGAAAGCAGTGCGCGTGCAACGCGCGATGAGCGATCCAAGTTTGTTACACTCCATTGTCTGTTTGGATGGTTCCCTTTCGCTGAGAATTAGAATCTTTCTAGCACGGCAATAGGTTCTACCCGGGGTTCTAGTCGACAGATGAATTCGAATGCGACTCCATCAAGATTAAGCCCATCAAACCCACACCAAGCAGGAAATCGGAACACTCCCGTCTGCTCAGGCTCCAGCATGGATAATTCAAATGCCCCTAACAATACAGAGCGGTCTTACGGTTCAAAAAACGTCCAACCCGCCAGCCGTACGTGCCAGTCCCCCTCCGGAAGTTACAACAATTACAAAAACAACAAGGAGACTAGCTCGAGGGTACATTCCTTGAAATCAATCTCCTTAATCGGTATTCTTATTGCACCACGAAGTTGCTGGCATTTCAGAATGTTTCGGACGCGCTGGCGGGTCTTGACATCAATAATATAGCAAGTGTTGTGGTCATTGACGATCATCTGGTTGAAACGGCGAGTGTAGATGCCAGCGAAGAGTTTGAAGAGGTTGAACTCAGGCCTTTTTCAATGGTTTTTCTCGTCTCTAGTCCTCATGTGTAATGGTCCATTTGTAGGTCTTGAATAAGCGTGCGAAGAAACAGAAAGCTCTTCTGCTGCAGGCGAAGCTTGAGGCTGAGGAAAGACGTAAGATGAAAGAAAGGGAACGACATCTCCGCTCTCAGAATAAGAAGGCCATTCGTCATTGCAACTCAAGAAAAGTTGAGTTTTGCCAAAAATTTTTTTTTAATTTCTATATATTGTAGAGTTTTTTAGAACTCAGAAAAGGTGAAACGCGGAAGGACAAACAGGAGGACGATAACTGGAGTGCAGTGGCTGAGAAAAACAAATCCAAGCAGCAGGAACGCAAAAAAGTGGAGGCTATCGCTGCTGAGGCTACTTCTATAAATAGCGCTGATTCTTCGCCTTTAAAAAGTGTGGCAGAAGTACATGGAGAAGAATCTCTGAAGACTGTGTGGAATAGTGCTCATATTGCAGGAGAAAAGGAGTCTCTGGAAGGGGTAGGTTCAGCTGTATCTCCTAGGTGGTATACAGCCAGGTCACAACGCTTTGTTCGTTTAAGGGTCCGCCAATAATTCCTTCACCGATTGCTAGGCCCAATCCGCGGTCGAAATCCGCTGCGTCAGATACAGCCCCACCATTTCAGGACCTTGTTAGGTTAGCACGCTCCTATCTTCTTTTTTTTTAAATGGTTAAAAAATTTCTGCAGGAGACAGATTGTGGAGTTACCAGTGTCTCTTTCATCTAGTCAGCCTCTACGTGGAGATAAATACGATTTCACCTTTGATCCACGATTGCATGAGGTAAGTTGCGGTAAAATAATTCGAATATCAGCATTTGTTTGGGCATTTTTGACAAATTGATCCGAACATGTGGTTGTGTCAATCCAAACAAGCTGTATATTTGCGCTCTCTTTGAGACCCTAATCTTGAATTTATGTTGTTTATCTGTTAATCGACTTCGAGGGTTGCGAGCGTTGTAAATTGCGTTTGCTAGGGATTCTGTGATATGTTCCACGGAGTACTTGTTATCACTCATTTTGTTTCTAGTAGATCAGTTTTCAGTTAAAATACTCATTGTAATCACGCGCCTTCAGGCTGCTTTTCAACGAACTTCATTCATTGGGGCTTGAACAGGTTTCCACACTTAAACGCTCATAATTCCTCCCATATACTCGCTTAGCAGCTAATATGGAGCTCTGCCAGATCTTGAAGGTCTGTGGGTTTGCGGCCACGTGGGATGCCCTAAATCCTAAAACCAGCTGAACAATCCCTATATATCCTTAAAGTAGACGCCAGACTAAGCGACTGTTTTGTTCAGCTGCAGAAGACGCGCAGAATCAACAGATTAAACGCTTTAACATTAAATCTGCGCACGATTGCCTGCTTCAGCTGCAGGACCGCACAAAATTTATGTTAATTCTGCGCGCCTTCTGCTGCTGAACAAAACTGTCGCTTAGTTTGGCGCCTACCTAATGCGCTCCACGTATTTAAAAGCTTTATCTGTTAGCAGAAAAGCGTCTGACAGGAGAAAGAAAACTGAGAAAGCATGCGCGAGTTGATCGAAAATTTGCCGATCTCACAACCAGTCAGATCCCTGGGTGAGTGCGATGATATGCAGGTTGTTGGATTGGCCGGACCAAGTTCTGACCACTCTTTTGCAAGCAAAAATTCATAAGTCATGAGGAGAAGTGAAATTATCTGTTTCCATATGCATGGTTTGTGCGTTAAATATTGTTTTTTGTCTATCTGTAATTGTTTTGACGTTTTAATAACAGCTTCTTCAGGAGCAAATGCCAAACGAAAAGGTCCTCACATCTTTATCGACTGGGGCAAGTTCGGAAGCTGGAAGTATGACTGATGATTTCCGTCTCAAGGAAAAGCTCTACAAGGTCAAGGTGTGGGCTACTTACGATAGTTCTCAACGGTGGTCCGAGAAAATTTTCGGGGAGGGGGAGGGGGGGGGGGGAAGAACAGAAATCAATTTTAAAGGGGCACCGCGAGACATATTTTTTTACAAGTAAATACAAGTTACACAATTTTATGCTCATGTAGGACAAAAATTTCGCGACCAGTTCTCGAAAAAGAGAGGGGGGGGGGGGGAAGGAGGAGAGGAGCGTACCCATTCCCGCCCCCCCCCCCTTCTCGGTCCATCACTTCCACATTATATACATTTTGTTTGAGCACGTTCAAGTGGCGCTTTTGAGATTGAGTCATAATTAAGGGTCTGTGGTCTGGAGAGGAAAAGGACTCTGAATCGAGCTTGCCTTCAAACGTTGCCAAAGTGAAACCACAACCACAGTCTGGAACTGAACACCTACAGAATGATGGAAAAGCAGCAGCCAGTGTCCCTAATGGTTGCCATACTGCTCCTCCTAAAAGCCCCGGGATTGGTAAGCGGTTTGAAGCTCTAGTTCCTTTCGTACACCTCTTTTTAGCGCCTTTTCCCGGTCTGGGTGGTTTCATGTTTTCACCTTTCCCGGTGATGTTTGGAGATGTGTCAATGGGACGAGGCTACACTTCTGTCGGTTCCGTTCTTCAACCACTTATTCCTCCATCCAATGCATCTAGTCCTCCCATCGGTCAACCACTTTACCAGCAACCCCCCTCTCTTGCCGCTAATGGAGCAATGAGCCAACGTCCTCTTCCAATACGTTCCAATTATATGGATCAGAACGCGATGTTTGCTGCTAGTCGTAAGCTCCCTGAATTTGTTTTTCCGAATGTGAGAGGGTTGGCCAAAAATTTGCTTTAGTTCCAGCGTCGCAGAACGTTTCATGGAATATCGGCAACATCGGAAGCATGTTGGATAGCGCTTGCAATGCTGCTTTGTCGGGTACTCCATCTCCACAACTTGCTGCAACTCATATCTCATCCTCTGTGCAACATCCACCACCGAATATGATACTGCAACATCGTGGACCGGCTCCTGCTTCCATGGCACAGGTGGCTTGCGCTCTCTGGATTCTCTAACTTTCTAAACATTTTTGATATAGTGAGCATGTCGTGTAACGCGTACAATAAGTCCATGTATCAGTTTGCTATACATAGTTTTGTTTGTCGCATCTTCAATACTTGTTTAGAATCATTCGCAGTCCCTCGCTCATGGATACGGAGTGGGAAATTTGGCAGTTGCCGGAGGACATTTGGGGCCGCCACACCCTCCGCCAAATGTAGGAGCACCAACAACTTTGGTTCCTCCACCGCCAATCCCTCCTCCTGAGCTGATGAATATCCCCCCTCCGATTGGCAGTCAGCGTGTCGCGCCCGTGACGATACAGTATGCAGGATTTCCTCCGGCTCCACCTCTCAATCATGCTGTTCATCCCTCGCATAATTTCGCCCAACCACCTCCGAATGTCAGGTTTGTGATACTCTGAAAAAGTTACCAAAGTATCTCGAGTTTCACAAATATCTATATGGGATGAAACGATGTTATACAGGACACGGACAAGCAGCGTAAGGTGACATGCACATAGATGCAGAGAGCCAGCCTTCTTAGGCCCATCAACGAACCCAGTGGGTTCCGCTACTCAGTGGGTAACCGAAAATAGTCCCGCTGGGTTGGATCGATAATCACAAAAAGCATTACTGGGTACCGAACCCGCTAGCTTCGTGAATACAATCTCGTGAGTTAAGCCTACTCAGTGGGTTTTGGGACAACTGGGTTCATTGATGAATACGGCCACTGGTCTCCCTGCGACTTGATTGTTGCGATCGCCGTAATGTTTCGCGTTTACAATTTTTGGCCAAAACCATGTCTGCATCAGCTTTCAGCTATGTGTCATGCACTGGATCCATCTACGGTGGATTTATGGACAACTGGCAAAAAACTAGATCGCGCGGCGAGACCAATTGGTGGAACCGCTTGCGGTATTGTTGGAGACTTCGGCCCTAGTGGGCAGAGGACGTTATCGCCGAATGGGGGATCCGCACGGACATCTGCACTAAGCCTACCTGCTCATAAAATGTAGCTGCATTTGTGCGCCAGATCTCTGCGAATCCACCGCAGAAATTCCTGGATTTAAAATGCGTGGGCGCATGGCTTTGTAAGCTGTTGCAAACATGCTAAATCTTCCTTGCACAGAGTTCGTCTACAAAGAATTATGAGCGATCATAGTTCAAAACGCGCGATGTCTGACCGAGGCCTTAGGTATCGGGCATAGTTCACGCGATTTTGTCGTAATCTGCCCATCTTTCAACATGCCAATTTCTCATGGGCTTATCAATTTTTGAAGGGTTCTTGCTTGCGAATGTTGGCATTTGATAGCTAGAACTTACAATTAGGACATTCTTCGCTAAGTTTTTGGCGGAACATGCGCTCATAAAGAAAAATTGGAAGGACGAGGTGTTGTTTCGTAGTGCTTTAGCAAAAATCTACATTGGCTGCTTTTTGAGAAGGAAAAATCAAGCACAGCACGGTAATCATGTGCTGGATTAGTAAAGCCAAATATCCTCTTGCATCTATGCGGATAGCGAATAGCAAACGTGAAGGTATCCAGTCAAGTAAAATGATCAAGCTTAACTCAAAAGGAAACACCCCAACATTCAAATCGCGAATTACAGTGGGAAGATCTCGCCCACCTGCTGATTTCCTCCTGCGTTAGCCCCTTTTGCCATTTTCGCGCTCTCCAGCGTGATTTTCACATTCAACCTAGCGAATAGCATTGGGTAAGCACAATATCTTAGAACTGACTTTTTGCTCGGACACTGCCTTTAAGGCCCGTGTGCACGCACAAACCCTTTGTGGAGGGGAGGGGAGCTGGATCTCCAGGGGAGAGGGGAGGGGGGGGGGGGGAGAGAACGGTACTTAGGAACCCGAGCCTAATTAGGCCGTTCGTGAAGTGCCTGCAGGATACAATCATGCTCGCTATCTCCGATTGCTCCTTAGGACATGGCGACATCTAGGCCTCGCCCTCTGCGAGCCTGTTTATGGACCCGGCTAAAGAATGCTGGAAACACTAATTGAACTTCAGATAACTAAAACTGGCTCATAGCCAATGATCGTACGAAGGTGAAATTGGGCTCAAACGAAAGAGAAAAATCGGTCCGTTCCCAGAAAGTACTCTACTGATTGAACAGAATTCTTTTGTTTAAGACTTCATTTATGTGTTGAAATTCAAACAAAACACTAAATTGTTCAGAAAACTGTCAACTTTTTCAAAAATAATACTTTATTAGAATGTTGAAATTCGAACAAAACACTGGAAAATCTTTCAAGAAATGGCATTTTAAATCTTTTCAAGAACAGTGCTTTATTCATGTGCTGAAGGCAAAGGACTAGAAAATCACTCGAAATGACTCAAGGAGCTTTCAGATAGTATATTTGCTGAACTTCGGGCATAATTCTAGAAAATCTGACTCAAAGTTATTGTTTTACTTTTTTTATTTTGAATATGGCAATGCTGATAGTTGTGAAGGAATTTTTGTGAGCCAGTCGTTGCACACAAATGACCATCAAAATTCATTTAGGGTCAGCACATCCTCCAGACATGCCAGCGGCTGTTTACAGCTCGAAATAGTTTGTATAATTACCGATTCTGCATTTTTGTACGGAATGCGTCTAAAAAATTGATGAAATCGCACATATTTTGACTCAGCTTTGTTGGAAAAAACCAAGTGAAAGGGTGGGAGGGGCAAAGCGACTTTTGGAGCAATCACTATCATTTTTAAAGCACGGCCCAAAAAAATTCCTTTTTTTTCAGGCAACTCTGATGTATGACCACTGAAGGTCATTTCATGTCTTTTGCCCTATTTTTCCCGAGAAGTTTTTAACTGTCATTTCTTGAATGACTAGCTTCTAGTCTTTTGCCCGAGTTTCAGCACAATGAACTATTACTTCTGAGTTCTTAAATTGTCATTTCTGAAACAGTTTTTTAGTATTTTACCCAAATTTAACGCACAAATAAACTTATTCCGGAAAATATGACAGTTTCTAAAATAATTTCTAAAAGTTATTTCGAATTAGACACTTAAGTAATGTTTTGAGCACAAAGCTGTGTTTGATCAAATTCAGTTAGTAGATACTTTGTGGCAAAGGCACGGTTTTTCTCTTTCGTTTGAGCCTAATTTCGCCTTCGCACAATCATTTTGAAGGTTAGGTAAGAGCCACTTTCAGTGATCTGAAGCTCAATCGAAATTTTCAGCATTCCTTGGTCAGGTGCCAATACAGGCTCTCAGGGGGCGGGGCTTAGGAGCTTAGATTGTCGCCATGTCCTAGGTAGCAATGAGCCGAGACCCAAGGTGACCCCCTTCACCAAAAGCCAGAAGAAATTCAGTCGTGAGGTAAAGTTTTCAATGATAAAACCGCCATGCTGTTCATCTACTTGCCAGCTCTACGATAAGGAACTGCATCAAGGAATTGTGCTGCCATTTCCTTCAACTTCCAACCCCTTCGGTGTAAATGAAAAATTTTATGTCCAAGGACGGCTTTATAAAGATTTCCTTGTACTAAATGAGTTTCAAACTAACAAGGTTAAGGTAAGGTAAGGTAAGGTTTTGCAGGATTAGTGCTTGGAGCAGTACGAGAACTGTTCAACTCCTTGCACTTGCTTCATACTAATATGTAGAACGAATCAAGCTGAATTAATTTATATTCTCGTCTCAAAGTTTTGTTTCATACTCTATGTTACATGGAAATATTAGGAGCAATACGACGGCTTCCGACTATCCTGAGACTATGGGAAGTTTGCACATGAAGAGAATGTAATGTAGATGAAGCATGGTTTTGAGAATTGTGCCGATAGCAAGTATTAGGGAGTGCAATGATGAAAGCACGAAGAAAGAGTCGAAGCATTGTTTGCTTAGAGATCTCCGAATTAATGAACGTAGACACATATAAATGACCACTCTTGGTAAATGTCGTGAACAATATGGAAATGGTACGATGGCAGCAAGATTGGAGTCCTCTCGATTTTATCTTTTGACTTTGATGTTCATGGCTTGGCTGAGAATGGGGAGAACGACGATGGGAAATTGCCTGATTGCCACGAAAATTTTGACATGTGCTGAGGACCAGATCCACCAGGCTGGGTTAGATAATCGGTAACACTTTGGGATGTCATCGTTGACTTCGAAGAAAGAAAAATGACTTCAAAGGACGGTCGGCTGTTGGGGATCATCAGGGGATCATATACAAAAAGCTGGAATATGCGGCTTGTATAGCTTCTCACTCCTTTTTAATATGCGAGTGAAGGATGGTGGGGATACTCACGGATAGGTAGACAGCGCGAAATTCAGATATCTGGAGCTTCAGGATATGAAGCTTTCTTCTAAGCTGCGATTCCTTCCCCGGAGGGAATGTTGATGCATGCGGCCTAGATTTTCGCCATTTCGTGTGATCCCTGGGAATCCCCAGGGGGATCACTTTTCATTTTCAAACTCATTTATCTTCATGAGAACTCATGAAAACATGGTGAAATTGTACTGACAGTATACTACGGCATTGCTTAACATGTTTGTAGGTGAGATTTCAGGATATCGAAATCTCCGATAAACACTGCTCGCGACTAGATATTATTGAAAAATTCACAATTTCTAATCTCATTTTTCTGTTGAAAACATGCTTAGCAATACCGTAGTATATCTTTAGTGCTATTTTACCGTGTTTTCAATGAGTTTTCAGTAAGAAAAATGGCTTCGAAAATGAGAGCTGATCTTTCGGGATCCCCAGGGATCACAAGATAGAGAAAATCTTATATTGTATGGCAGTATCTGGCATCCATTATGCACAGGTATCAGGGTATGAGAATTTTCATAAGCCAAATAGAGAAGGAAGAAGAAAGTTTTCTAGAATAGCCAGATATGACGCATCTCCTCACAAATCCCCTCCCTCCCGCAGGGATGTACGTGCATACGGGCCTTAGAAATTTTAGGTAAATAATTTCTTGTATGTAATGCTCCTATTATATTATGATTAATACCTATGTAGATAAAAGCAACGATTTTCGTTTTGGGTGGGAATCGCAGAATCCCTGAGTATTTGCCCAGAAGTCCTATCACGTTGTCGTATCAAACACAAAGACGTATTTTTTGAGAACCGTCTACATTATCTTAAAGATCTTTTGATTGCAGTAAGTCACACAAAACATATCGCGCAATTTTCTGTATGAGAGAACTCGAGATAATTTGCACGCATGCATGCGATTACCTCGAGGAGAGAATAAATGGATTGTCTCTCAATATTCAATGCCATATCTGCTGTGTCAAAGTGTTGAGACAAGACTGTCATAGATCGGTTGGCAGTTCCCTAAACCACTGTGGCACAAATATTTCTCGTAGCCTCACTTGTTTTACTGCTGTGGTGCTGCCCAGAGTTCGAGATTACTTGAATTGACGAGCGTTGATTTTGAACAGTGAAAATAATGTCATATGAAAGTGACCATTTACATTTGATGCATACTGACCAGTGGTGGATCGAGGCCGGGGGGGGGGGGGGGTACATGAGTAGAAAAAATGTGCAAATGACTTCATACTGCTAAATGATTACCTGTAGAATGATCATATGGTTGGATACAAAACTTTTGCGGTCGAACTGAATAAGTGGCAGGGACTAATATGGAGCACTGAAACCTAACAAATGCTAAAAAACGTTAGTGCAGGTGGCAGAGTCCTCCTTGCGCTGGCTTGCCAAGCTTGTCGGTCGCGGGCCTGCGTAATTGGCACTCATATGTAAAGATACGCACCCGCCCGAGAGCAACGGTCAAGAGGCACGGTCGGGCCCCCCAAGTCACCGCAACAGTATGAGCGCTCCTAGGTTAGAGCGAGGTGGAGCTGCTATGCCGCCTCTTGCGTTGCGTTTGTTCTGTGGTAAGGCGTACAGGGTGTGGCACCAGCTGGCACGGGGTAAGCTGGATATCGTTTTTGGGACAAAAGGCAAAGGGAATATCGTTTTTGTCGACAAACTTTTTTGAAGTCGAGGATCGTGTTTTGGGGTATTTTTTTCAAGGTTTAAGGTTTAGGGTCAAGGGGGACTTCGTTTTGAAAATTCCCTGGTGCCGCTCGTGCCCAGCCCTGAGGCATACCTCGGTCTTTATTGCGGTCTTTGACCATCACGAATCAGCTTGCCACAATTGGGGAGCCGGCAACACATGTTCCAATACTCCTTGTCCATGTTACATATGGCACGGAGCCTGTATCGGCCCACCCACACCCCGCTAGTTTGCGACACTTTAGGCCGGAAAGTTTTTGGGGCACAAAATTTGAACGCGGCGTACTTTCTGACGTGGAGCCCCGCCCAGTGCCTCTTCCCCAGTCATATCTATAAGAGGTGAAGTTTTTTTTGCAAATATTATTGTGGGTATCATTCAACTCACGAGATTAAAAGTAATCTAGACAAAACAGACATTTAGACCTACCTAGAAATGCCTTAAAAATCGTGTACTGTTCTGTCTTACTCACTTGTTTGAAGGTTCGCTCATCCTCCTCCACCCCCAAATCAGGATTCTCAGTGGGATAATGGATTAGCACGCACTTTTGTGGGATCGCGGCCACAGTTTGCTACGTTCACAAGTGAGTCTGATGAAGTCATCAATCAAGAACCTATTGCTAAATGTTTTTAGATGTGGTTTTGTTCCACAATTGCTTTCTTCTTGTTAGGATCATTTCGCTTGTATTTGAGTTCCAAACTCCGTTTGCTTTGAGAAAGTTATGGGGTATCGAGTATACCACGACATAGCATATAAAGTTCTCATGTATTTCTGATATTTCGTTGCTCTAAAAACCTGCTGCAATATTTTTTGGACTTATATGAACCTGGTGAAATCACTGATCACATTTTGGTCTTGCAGATAGCTCTTCATCGCGTTCTTCGTCGCAGATGAATGCAGGTCTACAGGGAAACAGATGGGGATTGAATAGTAATCGATCTAGTCTCTCTGGGTCATCTCAAGTAAGATCTACGAAAATGGTTGGTCAATTTTACACATTCTTCTGTAATAAAATTACTTGACATCTTTTCGAGAAAATTTTTGGCATCAAGTATGTCAGCACGTCAAGCTGTGAATTCATTTTGTATGCAGTTCGATAATTTTTGGACCTTTTCTTGAAGACGATCGTATCGTTGCCTAAAATCTGTTTAGGGAGCGTGACGTGTTAGCTAAATGTAATCTGGTATTGCAGCCAGCAGCTTGTGTCGGTAGAGCCCCTTGTACCAGTGAAAATATTGTGGAATGTAAATCGTCCGTCAACATAACTTCACTGAAGACGTGTTTGGGACAAGGATCGCGTGGGACTTAGATTTTCCTCTTGTCCACGTTGAGTTTTATTTGGTTTTATCTCTCTGAGGCATATTTCGACTTTGTGTTGTCGCGAGTTTTAGCGGATGTTTTATGCATTCGAGTTCACGTTTTAGTGAATTGTTGAAACACTAGTTGTTGAGTTTTTAATGTGGGTACTTTACAATTTTCTGTATCTTGGATTTTTACCTTGTACTTTACTTCTTATATAAGAATCCAAATGATCTTCCCCTCCTACTTGTCTTCGTGATCGAGAGAATTTTCTTCTGTGAACTTATAGCGGTCATTGTTCAAAGTTTCATGCGACTACCGTTTTACTACTTAGCGATTACAAATAGTTTTTAAGGCTTGGGGTTTGAATTCCATTCTTTTACCTATTTATACTCCAGCTCAACTTGAATCGTCCATTTTATGAACGCAGCTGAATGCGTGAGAAGTTTATGAAACGATTTGGTAAACAAGACGCTTGTAATTTGGGAACGTTGTCCGTTGTCATCTTTTTGAAGGTGGAGAATAAAATAAAAAACTCAAGTTGGTTGTCGTTATGTCACTGTAGTGTTCGGTGTCACGCACAATCTTCATTACAGCATCATGACGACTTTACAATAGCTTTTTTCTTTGAAGTGAGTGTTCTTACTAGGGAAGGATACTCAGGTGATCCAGCCGTTTATAACAAGACATATTTAGTTCATCTCGATTTCCGAACGCTGAGAAAGCAAGTTGTAGCGAATTCTTCGTTTTCCAAAGATTGTGCGATCCAAGTGAAATAATCATTTTCGAACGCGTTCAACTTTGTTTACAAGATGAAATAGCTGCCTCTTTCTGCAGTCAACACAAACCACTACTCCGTCTTTGCCAGCACATGGAATACTTTAGATAACTTCCAGACTATAGAATTAGGAGCCAGCCAAAATCTCGTTTGTCCCATTTTCGCTTTCATGAACTGTGCTTTCGCCACTGTTAGATTGAAAAAGAGGTGAGTTAATGGGATGTGGCGATGATGGCCGAAAATGTATGTCGTCCTTTCCACAGTTGTGCTCACCCTGTTCTGCGTTTCTGGCTTGCCGCACGCCTGGCTAACATGTTGGCAACGTTCGACATTGTTTGGCGCTGACGCTAATTGCCAGAATACTTTGCTGACATGTTGGACATACGTGCTGCAGGTCTGAGACGCAGATCAGGGGTAGCAGCAGTTGTGGAAGGGACAATATATTCGATAGCTCAGATCTTTTTGTTTTCACAAGAGCTTAGTTTTTCTTCTTTGTTTGAGTAATAGTTGCTGAGAGCACAGCTTATGAAAGCAAAGAAATGGGACAGACAAAGATTTTGGCTGGCTTCTACGTTAGAACTTGTGCCACAGGGTGAATTTGACATGTTAATCATGAAAATGATACCCATAATGCTTGGCAAGGTATGCTTTATATTTAGGGAAATTCGAAATTTTTTTTCGAATGAATATCGAGTAATATTCGAAAATCGAAGTTGTCGAATTTTCGACCGTCGAATATTACTTGAAAATTGAAAACTTTAAATATTCGATTATCGAATACTATTCGAAAATTTCGAATATTTGACTACCGAATGTTGTTTGAGAATGGACATTTTCGAATCGAATGATATTCGAATATCGAATATTATTCGAAATTAGAATTTCGAATATCACTCGGTTCTCGAAATTCGATTCTCGAATAGTATTCGAATAATATGTCAGAACTGCCTATGAGAGATAAGTATCAAGAAAAGACATTTTACGATGAAGACACGGTTTAGTGGTTACGTGAAGAGACTTGAAACCATAGGTGCGATAGGGGGAGCCAGGCTCTCCCCAGGTGAAGAGGGTCTCGGCTGTTTGCGACCTTCCAAGGTGAAGGGGGTATGTGAGCCTAGGAGGGGGGGAGGAAGAAAAAGGTAAAAAAGCGTGGTATGAAGAGCTCTAATTTGTACCTTATTTAGGTACAAATTGAAAAAAAAATTTTAGAATTAAAAAAATAATAAATCAAAAAATTGACTTTATAAAGATCTGTGCTCCTATTTCATTGCATCAACAAAAAACGAAAGCAATAAGGTTCATCCCAAACATGTACAAGTTAGGAACACTTACAATTCCTGCACGTCATCATCAACAATATCACTATCGCTAACGTGAGAGACAACAAGTTCGCTGACTGAAAGATCTTCTTCTTCCTTCAGAAGATCATCGGAGTAGAAGGAGAATTGCGTCAAAAAGCGTTCCGAATCGAAAATAGATTTGAAACCTTCTTCTTCTAACAAGGGAGCGATACTTGGTGTCCGTAGCCTTTTGAGATGAAACGTATACTGTCACACGCGTCTTGGAACGCTGATTCCGAATCTGTCTTCCTTTCCTGCTAATCGTTTCTCTGAAAAAAGTTATGAAGGATTTTCGCGTCAATGATCGCCTAAGAGAAATACGACCAAGGATGCCTAACTGCAAAAAGAAGCTTGATTAAGGCAATGCAAAACTGAAAAACACAAAAGGACTCGAACCTAAACCTACACTAACTTGTGAGGCTATCTCACTAGTCATTACATGACATCTTAGCGGCGGTTTTAGCATTGCGACCACGTCTCCTTTGGCGCAAAAATCCTTCATAACTTCCTTTAGAAAAACGATTAGCAGAAACGGAAGTCAGATTCGGAATCAGCGCTCCAAGATGAGTGTAATGGTATACATCTTATTTCAAAAGGCCACGGACACCAAGTATCGTTTCCTTGTAAGCGCTTTTGTGTTTTTTCCTGGCCCTCTGGTAGCACCAGGAAGTCAGCAGGTAGGTGACCAATTTCTTCATACCATCATTTAGGATATTTTAAAAAGTCATACGATGACAGCCTGTCTAGACCACTTATAGCAATACTTTAAATGAAGTTTTTAGATAACCATTTAGTAGAAGGTTGACAACTTAAGTAATTGCTTACAACGAGAGGATACTTAGTCGAAAGTACCGATCCAGATGAGACATATATCATCGTAACGTGCTCGGAGCGCTGACTTCAAATCTGGCAAAATTAGCTAGCGCCTTTGGGCAACGAGTTATGGTTGTTTTTGTGGAGAAAATTTGAAGTCAAAGGGGAAGATTTAAATTATACGCAGAAGTTCCAGTTGGGCTCGAATGGGGGAGTGATGTCTATCAGATTACTCTGCGCAAAGAAAAATGTTTGTCTGCTATACCCACACTTAAAACGAGTCTATCTGCGAAATATACATGTTGTAACAATCAATTTTATTCTCTTTACCCATTCAGTTTTTGGGTTTTGAAACGGTCATAGCTCCACACCCAGAGGCGCTCCGCAGATAAGGAGGAGAGATTTGAAATCAGCGCTCCGAGCAGGTTACGATGATATATGTCTCATCTGGATTGGTGCTTTCGACTAAGTGTTCTCTCCTTGTTAGATGCTCCACCGTTGTACGAGTTCTGCGTTGCGTTCTGATAACAGAGTAGATAGAATATCCCCTCTCCACCTCTGCCGTGCTAGTCGGAATGGGAACTAGCTTTGCTAGTAAGTCCACCAGATTTTTGCGTTAAGTAATGAGGAAAGAGCCAGACCGCATATGCTTTCGCAACACGGGAAGGAAATATTGGATACTTTTTTGGGCCTTGTCGAACTCTGGCTTCACCTCCTCTGGCATACGTCTTGTTAGCTGACGAGAAAGCTGCTCAACTTCTTCTTCAACAGCATCTGCGGAATAGCCGAAAAAAGTAGATACTATGCTGCGCGTTTTTTTTTTATATCATAGGTCATAATGTCACAAGGCGAGATACTTCCAGCAGCATAAAGCACAGAGTTAAGTTCGTACTCCAATCGGGATCTAAGAGCAGTAGCTATGCTTTGTACTAACACCTTCCTTTTGTTCATATCCATGTTTGTGAAATTAGCAGCCTTGAAATCTTCAGCAACCTGAAGATCAGCAATGGACTTCCTGGACATTTCCTCATTGAAACTAGGCAGTCCGCTTGGATTCATTATGTAAGAAATCAGAGAGTTTCGCTCAATTGTCAACTCTGTATCAATGTCGGCAACATTTTCGTCAACGTCAGATTCTCCTTCTGTCTCGCTGTTGAAGTGGAACACATGCGAGTCATCTGCGATTTTGTAAAGTATTCTGCCTCGTTTCCTCTTCAAACTGCCAACCTTTCCAAAACATTAAGGGATATTTTAATAACATGTTATTCTTCTGAATGTCTTGAAGGTTTGGTTCATTGGAACCAACCATTCTCTACAAATTAGGTAAGGTGAGTCTAGAGCGTTTTCACGAAAGTGACCTTCTTCAGCACTAGGTTTACAGGGTATAGATTCCAGAAATGGGCGGGTTTTTGTGTGAAGGTGTGGAAATTCACCAATCTCCCATAGTTTTTTGAATATGTGCTGATAATGATGGCACAACTGTCAATCAAAAGCGCATTTTTTTCTAAAAAAACATAAACATATAACAACGATAAGCACGCCTAAATAGACGCGTTCGTTCGCGTTCCCGTTAATGCTGATAACGATGTCAATCCACAGCACATTTTTTACTATTAGCTTGCTCCACCTCGCTCTTACAATGTGGCTTTTATGGGTCACCGGAGCAAATGATTCTTAGAGCCGGGAAGCAAAAAAGCCCTAACATGCTTTAAACCATTCGAAAGGTGAGATCATGGAGAATCGATGTAGACCGTCGACTTTTTTCTAGGTCTTCTGTGCCGCGAAATATGAGGGATTTTATGTACTTCAAAAATCAACTGATTTTCTGTCCTCATTGTCTGCTCTCCAAATGAATGCTACGAGAAAGTCGACGGTCTGCGTCTGTTAATGAAGACTTGCTCTATCACAAAGATAGATAATCAGCAGTGATTATGTCTTCGTTTGGCAGAAATCTGGTGTTGAAAATGGACATGTTTTCAGATAAAATGCGGTGTATCTTTCGGTAGAAGGGGCTAGAAAGAAGTCGACGGTCTAGGTCGAATCCCCTTTTCCTGAGCTTTCGAATGGTATATAGGTTGCTGGGCGAATAAACTTTCCAGTTTTCGCTTATTTTATCTCATAGCTTTGGTAGAAGCCAATTAGAGCGCGTAAACCACAGAAGAACGGATGTTTTTGGAGCGCAATCACTCCAAAAGCATTTAGAGCCTTTTGATAAAAGTAACGGTCCTCTCCTTGAATTGCACTGGGTTCAGTGTGTAGCAGATGTGTCAGACTTTGTTACTGTAACTCTACAAAAAATTTGGACTCAAATGACTGCAATCTTGAATGAAAAATGGACCTTTGTTTCAGGTGTTCGTATAATTATGAACCGCTAAAAATTCGCATAGGCGCAAAAACACTCTTACAATTGACGTGGATTTCCATTCTTATGGATCATATACCGTTTTCGGCTGTGTTCTATAGCGTGGTACCAGCGGCTTTCTGAGATTCTCCCAAAAAGTCCAAAACCTTACAAAATTTTGGGTGTTCGTATAATTATGAACCGCACTTTATGGTGTTGCTTTGGTGACATTCTATACGACGAGCTCCAAGTGGAGTAGAGATTTTGGGCTT